ATATGAAATTCAAGGCCCTTACTAGTATTTTCTGCTGATTGAGAGAGAAGAATATGAAAAGGAAGAAGGAAAGAGGGGCAATGTATGTGAAGAAAGGACGTACCTTTTTGGTGGCAGGTGTTGTGGGAGGGGTCAGGATGGCTTGACCCCGTACGAGAGCCTCATATCTCCTGCTTCTGTAATTCATGATCCTCTTTGATGTGTTGATGTTATGAACATGAAGCTTGATGCCTCCTCCAAGTCCGCCCCACTGCTCGCTCAACCACCCCCTGCAACGCTGCGTTTCTTGCTGCCCATTCAACACCCTCTGGTACTTATTACAAACATCTGGCGTGGTCCTTGTCAGCATCCCTTTCGCCATCGAAGACGACATTCCTGCTTTCCCCAGCGATCTTCTGCCACTTCAATGTCGATTTCCTCCTCTACACCCAACCCAAACTATCTCGTCAAAATTAACTCAACTCTTCTGCTTGTATTGTATATATATGTGCAATCATCGATTAAAACTGTGTCAGATTTGATAACTTTATGAAACGGTATAGGGATCAAAGGGGTTCAGTTTTCTATATCGATCGATACACAAGAAGGGAAGTTAGAAAGATCATCCAGTTCAGTAAGAAATCCGTCTTGCGTGACCCTGTGGGAAATATCCGCAAACACCTAGTAATCGAGAAACAGCAACTCAATCATAATTTTCACGTCATGATCGCGCACATACATACAGTTCAGCGTTCAAATTTGGCAAGAAAAGAGAAATCAAGTTTACGTACCCGGATCTTGAAAAAGGAACGTAAAGCTAAATGAAGGGAGACTTGCTTCTCAAAACAAAATAGATAGGCGCGGGAGTGATTTTCTCGCCTTATTTAATATTCAGTTTTTCTTATGCGTCTATCAGTTGTTTCCGTGCTTGAAATCAGAGTTTGGTTCCACAGACCTCAACAATAAAATAAAATAAAGTAAAGTAAATGGGTGCGATGAGATATGAGTGGACGAAATTACAATTAACGGAGCAGGGTGATACCTTTATCAACCAAAATTTGACTCCATCATCATAATATGCCAACGTCATGGGAATAATATGGGAAAGCTTTGGTTTTTTTTTTTTTTGCCCCCAAGTTATTACTTTCTGACGAGTTCTCTCTCCCTCACGAGGATAAGGGTTTGTGGCACACAATTTAATGCTCGCAAAACTTCTGAATCATATAACATATATTGAATACAACTTCACACATGACATTTCATCAGATTTTATTTTATTTTATTTTTTTGGTGCGAAAGGATGTGAAATCTGAATTAGTTTGAAGATATATAACAACATCTTCCCTTTGATTATCCCTCTTTGATGATAAAACTTCCATAATTTGGATGAGCAGGAAGAAAAAATGGTGCAAATTAGATATAGCAAAAGGCATTCAAATAGTAATTTAGTTTGAATTGAATTGGGGTGTGGATGAAAGAATCTCTCCAATCACTTCAGAAGTAGACGGGAGAATCTTCTAGATAGTTATCCTCTATTCGTTCCTTTGGATAATTTCCATCCACACACGTTCTTTTGTAATTTGATTATAATTTCTCACCAGCAAAACAAGACAAGCCAACCTAATTTTTGTTCGAATATGTGTATATATAAACTTTTAAAAAAATGTGCAAGGAATTATTTATGATAATTTTTAGATTATGTATTTAGGAATAATCACTTCATTTGAAATTTCGGAACAAATTATGATGAATCTGCGAAGTGCAAACCATCGGAATATACTTTGGATCCACCCAAACCATGACACGTGGCTTTATCATACACACGTAAATCAAGAATTATTGCCACCCATCATTTTCGTTCTATTATCACCATATTTTTGTTTCATTTATTTGTTGAATACTATCTCCATCTTATTTTCCACACATGGTCCATTTTCAATTACCAGAGTTAGTAAGAATGAAAATAAACAAATTTTAAATATAAAGTGTGTCGTCTATAAATAAGTAGTTTTAAAATTTTATCGATATCTCCAAAATTAATTTTTTTAATTATTTAATTTTAATTCACCTAGATTGATTTTACAGTGACTGAGTAAGAACATTTGATTAGCGGGAGAAAAAATAATTTCCTATATTTTTTAACATTTTATTAAAATTAATTTTATGATATATTTTAAATTTTTAGGTTAAGTAAAATAAAAAAAAATTCTTTGAATTTTGAACTATCTTCGAGAAGCCATGTGTTCAGTTCTTTAAGACTTCCAAGTGAATGAGAGATATATTTTTATTTATTTTCATCTCCTTCTAATGTTTCTATTAGTTTCATAATATAAATGAACAAATAGCTTGTGCTTTTTTTTCTCTCCCTGAAACGTGTGATTTTGTTTAAGTAAAAAAAAAAAAGGATAAGCTGGCCCAAAAAAAAATAAGAAGATAAAAACGGTTGATTTATTGATTGAAAAATAGAAATAGTACCCTTTTTTTTCCTTCAAAATTTTGCTTATATAAGTGGAGAGAAAATATTGCAGAGGTAAGATGCGAGAAGGGAAAAATTTAGGAAGAATGGCACTTGAGTTTAAATCATTTTATTTTAATAAAGTCCCGATGAATTTTTTCCACCTAAAAGGTTCCAAAGAATTTTAAAATGTAAATGAAGTTCCCTTAGATACTTAATTAATCTCTTAACAAGATTTTTAACTTGCAAATTTGCTACTCCATCTTCTTTGATGATTTGCAAATTTATAAAATTATTTATTCAACTCTAAATATTTGTAACTTACTCTCACAGATTTGCAGCTTTTATCTACTGTAATTTGCAACTCTATATCTCAATTTTATTTATGAATATAATTTTAATATTTATTTTTCTCACAATAAATTATTTGTTCAATTTCAAGAATTTGAAATTGATAAATTTTATTTATAAATTTATAAATAAAATTTCTAAAAATAAGATTAATATTGATATTTTGTGTTTATAAATAAAATTGGGATATAAAGTTACAAATCATGGCAAATGAAGTTGCAAATATAAGAAAATAAGTTGCAAACACCTATAGCTAACAAAATAATATCATAAATTCAAAGTTGAAATCCTGAATTTTTAAATAAAATTTGGAACTTGAGTTGCAAACTAAGGTAAACGGAATTACAAAATATAGAGAGTAACTTGCAAATTTTTGGAATTGAATAAGTAATTTTTCACGAGAAAAATAAATATTGAGATTATGTTCATAAATAAAATTGGGATACAAAGTTGGAAATCATAATAGATAAAGTTGCAAATATAAGAGAGTAAGCTGTACAATTCTAGGAGCCAAATAAATGATCTTATAGAATTCAATGTTAAAATTTTGTGTTTTTTATAAAAATATTGTGTTCTTAAATTAAATTAGGAAATGGAGTTGCAAATTTCAGAAAATAGGTTGTAAATTTATAAGTTTATAATTTTGTCAAAAGATCAATTAATAATCAAGAAATTTTATTTATATTTTGAAATTCATTGAGACTGTAACTAAGATGAAATGACTATTTTGAGACTTAAATGTCATTTTTCCAAATATTTATCATAGCGGCCAAAATAAAATATTAAAAATAGACACAATACGACGTAAAAGCCTAGTGGAGGAAGAAAGATAAGATTAATGGAAACAGGAAAGAATGAGTGAACAGAAAGGAGAGCATATATAAGAACAAGAAGAAAAAGAAAAACTATTTTGTAAAATTTGCAAAAAAAATATGAAAGAAGCAGAGTAAGTTGAATACAATTATAACTAAATAAAGGAATTTGTAATTGATTAATTTATTAAAAAAATGTCATCATAGTTATTTGCAGCAAGAGAAAAGTTGCTACAAGGCTGGATTAATCACGGCCACATTAAATGGGTTGTTAAACAAATTCTCAACAAGCCATTATATTCATAACTTTAAGGGAAACCAGAGCAAAAGAACATTGACCCTACAATTCTATTTCTTCTCATTAAACTTCTTCAAATATTTGAGAATAAACAAAAAGGTTTTTAGAATTGAAGAACCCATCCATGCTAGTTGCTCAAGCACTGGCACAGTTGGATTGACAACTGAATTTTAGTGTTGAGAGTTCACATGACTGTATCAAAAGGAAGAGGATGCTTGTTGCTTGAGTCATGAAGTTGGCACGTGTGGTTGGGTTTCTCATGTAACGCAAGCAAGGGCATTGTTCATGTTCTTTGAATAGTCCAGCTCTTGTTTAACTTAAGAACTACTACTTTGAAACTAGAAGCAGGAAATATATACTCTTGCTGTTCAACGAGGAGACAAGCATCATAACTCACAAACCAACCAGAGGGAACCTTAGAATATTTTTCAAGAGATTAAAGACCTATTTGATTTTTATTCTCATTTATTGTTTTTAAAAATTATTTTGTAATACAATTTTTAAAATTGTTTTTCAAAATAAAATGAAATAAAAATGCTTATGATTATGTTAATAAAAAAAAGTTATAAAATTAAAAAATAGACTGATAATGATTATTATAAATAGTTAATGGTGATGATTAATAATAGAAATTAATTAAGATAATTATAATTTTTAATGATCAAAGGTAATGTAATTTAAAAACATGAAAAATAAAACTAAAACAACTTGAATGTTTTTTATTTTTTATTTAAAAAAATGAAAACAGTTTTGCAAATAATTAAATAAAAAACACTAATTAAAATAAATTTTTAATTTTTTAAAAATAATTTTTTAAAATAAAAAACAAAGAGACTCTAAGATTTTCTATCATTGAATGAAGCTCGAAATTCTAGTCTAGTTCATTTGTTGAATTATAAAATAAAATAACGGGAGAGAGCTCAACTTTCAAGGAAGTTTTCCAAAGAATCACCATTACTTCTTCAATGCATGGTTTCTAAGTTGCAGATGGATCAAGAATAACTGCCTTGCCATTTGATAAGTTGCTTGTGCAAAAGGGTTTGCAACAAAATGTTTTGGAGCTTACTCAAGTACCAAGTTATATAAACTTGTGAACAAGAAACTGTCCCTCGAATGCTCGATTACTTCTACCATAACAGCAACTGTGTATATGTCCATTAAATATTATTCTGAAATTCATAGTTGTTCCTTTTGAGAAGTCAACATGATAGAATTTCAGTGTATGAGATCAAAAGAAGAAGGAAGGGGGGGGGGGCAGCCGGTGGCTAAGGAACACCCTTAGCATTGGAAACCACTTGAGTGTAACCAAACTCTGAGAATTTGGCCAAAATAAGTATAAAAAAGAAAAAAAACTGAGAGGGGCATGATTTTTTGGCCAGAGAGAGAGGCATGATTTAAATGCAGTATTCATTGCAAGGAGTCCCACGGGCATTATTCCGAACGAACGACTCACTCAAGTAAATATATTACTTGTGAAAGTAACGCACAGAAATACGCTGCTTGATGGGGCTCCTGCAAGAGGGGCAATCTTTCATACCCTGTTTTTCATGGAGCTCATTGCATGTTGTGCAAACCACCTGATGAGCACACGGAAGGAATACAATAGACATCTCCTCTGAAAGACACATTACACATTCTCGTTCACGTTTTACGCCTCCGACCACAGAGTAGTTATTTAAAGTTGTGACCACTTCTGACATGGAAAAGGTCCGTGATTCCTGCAGAGCAACACCATCTTTCTTGTTGTCCATACATCTGATGGCGTAGCTTCCATCAATGCCCCTCCTCAGTGCAGCAATTTTTGAAGAATCAGTCTTCTGTCTCAGTTGCGCAATTTCTTTCTCAAGTTTCTGTATATCATGTGTGTACCGCTGCAGATTCTTTTCTGCATTTGATTTGATCATGTCTTCCTCGGATTTTGCTAAAACTTCAATTTGTTCTCTTTCTTTTCTTATGGAACTAGCCTGTAGGAGGATTTCTTCCTTTGCCTTTACTTCTTGTTGCAATCTAGCCTGTGATAGTTTCCTTTACAATGAGAACAGACCCGGTAATAAAATTCATTTAGCCCCAATGGACAGAAGATGATTGCATGCGTGGAATTTCACAAGGGGTGCAAGGATACCAAGACCATTTTCACCTTTTAACTCTAACCATACTTAGCCGTTTCTGATTTAATAATTTACTTCAAGTACGTGTGTTGAAACCATCAAAATGAATAGAACCTTACAAAGTCAAAAGAAAAGAAAAAATGGCCAAAGAAGGAAGGTGAGCAAAAGTTTTGCAAGGCGCAGCAGCATAGTCTATCAGAATAAATAGTAACGCCATGAGATTAAGAAAATGTAATGTGTATTCACACCTCATGCGACCATAGAAACATAGCACATATAAACACAAAAACTCACACCTGAACTAGAAAACATTCAGCAATATATCAGTAACTTATTTTCTTACCTCTTTTTTTTTTTCAATTGAGGGGGTGTATGCCCCACGCAGGGGATCTTGACTATTAAAAAGGTAAAGCTGATGTTAAACATATATTATTATTGTGGCAATTTTACAATATTAACCACCCATTGTAAATGCTAAAGGTCATGTGATGCATAGAAATGGATAGCAAATAGTTCGGTTGGGTATTTAAGAAACTCAAGCAACATGAAATACGAATAACTTGGAATATGCAAGGCTCAAAGTAGCATACCTCAACTTGCTCCTGTTGCACTTTAGCTTGCTCTAATTCCTGCAGCAGCAGCGCCAATTTACGCTTTTCTGTCATTAGCTCTTCCTGAAATGAGGCTCTCTGCTTTTCCCATGACTGAAACTTCATAAGGGCATTCTTTTCCCTCCTTGAGACCTCTTGACAGCTTGCTGCTGATTCTGCAGCACGTAACTTAGCATCCTTCATTTCTCTCCTCAATGCTGCATTCTCCGCCTCAAGCTTCCGGACAGCAGCATTAGCTCGCTCCACCTGTCCACTAGCTTTACACAAGGCATTTTCCATCTCTGACAGCTTCTTCATAGTGTTTTCCTCAAGAGTTTTCTTCTCTTTCTTAAGACGTTCAACTTCCTCTTTCTCCTGCCTTAGTGTCTTAAGTTCAGCCTTGTCCTTACTCAGCCTACGAGCAGCCTGCATAACCTTTTGATTAGCCCACTCAGTCCATTCTTGAAGCTGATTTTGGAGCTCTTGTACCCGAGGAACCAATTTCAAAATCATCTCATCCTTTCTATCCTGGAGTGGCTGCCCCAAGGACTTCTCATAAGTTATCCCCATACAAGTATTATGCAATGCATCAGCATTGCAGTTGGCAGGCATTGTAAAAGATTCGCTTGTTGAAGACAACGAAAGAGAAAGATCAGGATCAGTAGCTAATAATGTAGTTGGGCTACCCGAGGCAGGTAAAATATTGACTGCTTGCTGCGATGAAGTATTGGACTTGGGGGAACCAGAAATGGCATCAGGAGAATCGACACTAAATGCAGTAGAGGTAGATGGTCCAGAATTAGGTGACAAATTAGGGCAAAGATTGTCTTGAGTCGCATCAACTACCATTGCCTTGCTTATCTTTAAAGATGCACTCTTCAAGCTAATGGTAGTAGAGTCTGACACAGATTTCAGTTTTCTATCCAAGATTAAACCACTCAACTTCCCTCCTCTTGAAGATGCTTTAGATCCATATGTACGATTACTTAATGATTTCTGTCGAAAAATGTAATCCCTTTTGATGCTACCAGAATGAACTTTTCTAATACTTCCTAACTTTTCTTCCACCATTGGAGATTGGGAAGATCCAGCACTACAGAGTCCCTTATCAATAGAATCAGACCTTGAATCAGTGCCCTCTTTCTCTGAGAATCCACCTAGATTTGAAGAATTCTTCAAGTTGTTCACACCAGGAACTCCTGCTACAAATAATGTCTCAGATTGAGAATTATGAGAACCTGATGAAACTGGATTACTGGGAGTCGGAAGACTCAATTGAGGGCATTTTATTTCAGATTTTAACTGTGAATCTGTTTGGATAGGGGTACACCCACAAGCAGTGCCATCACTAACAAAGATACTCAAAGGATCACCATCCATTGCACATGCATGTGACACATTCATGTCACAGATTAACAAACACCACAATGCATCCCCAGTACTGAAGAATGGCCTGACCTCTCGAAGAACACAAACCAATTCAGCCAAGATATACTTCTCAAGCTGCAGTAAATCTTCAAAACAGTGCTCTCTTGAAGGATCAATCTCTTGTTCATTCCTAAGAAATGCTAAAGTATTATCAACTACATTGGACACTGCATCTTTGCTTCCATAACAAATGCCAGACCTTAAAATGGACTTTGCAGCAACTTCTTCAGTGTAGCCACACGCAACAATTCTTTTTGTTGCACTCTTGAAAATGGTGTCCAAATTGCTCAAAGCAAGTTCTTCCAACTGAGCTTCTGTAAGATCACTCCAATCAGCCTCATGGAACTCCTCTGCCTCCAGTTCCTCCTTGGATTGGCCAGGCCCAGCATTAGATGAACCTACAGGACTAGACAATCCAAGGTCAAGTTTCAGTCCATCAGAAATCTTGATTCAATCTACACAGGCCACAAGCACTGACTTGCCCATGACCTTGGGTTATTTCAAGTTTCTCAGCTGAAAATTCATAATTGAGACATTCATTTTGAGGTGAGGGCATAATCTTATTTTGTTCCGCTAACGGTAGATCAGCCCTAAATTTTCTCTTATTCCTACTTCCCTTGTCTTGCATAGAAACTGAAGGGGAGATTTGATTGCTCCCAGTGGCAACCAATGATGCCATTTTAGCTGCAAAAAAGAAACAGAAAAATCTGTGAATAAATATATCAATTTTTATAACATCTATTCACAAGCACAAATTATTATTCAATACCCAAAACAAGTTCCCACATCCATGATTTTCAGTAGAAGGCCAAATTTTCATTTTTATGTTTGCTCAATAGAGCACAATAGTCGGCAAACTTTCGAATAGAATAGTTTGTCCTCTGCTTACTAGAAGAAAATAATCACAGGTGGCTTAATGGACGTTATTAGGCATCTGTATCGTCTGCATAGTTATGATTTGTCTTTTCTTAATCTTAAAATTGTAGGGACAACGATCTAATGGAAGATCAAACGAACAAAATTATAATAAATTAGCGAGACAAGATCAGTTGCACTGATTAATAAACTAGCAGAACAACATTGTTTTGATGCGCAAATGAGATGGAGCAAAACTGAAATTACGGCCAAAAAGAATAACAGGGTAATGAAGATTAACATTGATCGGTCCATTCAGAAGAAAGCCAACAACATTACCCAATATGATGAATAGAAGAAGTGAAAAACACTCAATTTAAGGGCATTGCATGCACCAAAGAAGACAAATCATTTTACCTTTAAATTTTAGTATTGAAATTTACGATATCCAGCTTCCTGAGGCGTTCAAATGAATAAAATAAATATTAAATCAGAGAACCAATAACAATAAGCCCACTAACCAGAACAGAAACATGTCCAGTAATTTAAGCGGTGAGAGCATACACAGTTTACACAAAATTAAGTTTAAGAGCATCAAAACGAATACAATTCCAGCACAGAATCCAAACTCCAAACGCAACCACAGATCAGAAAAGTGATCCAAGCAAAATATGTTTTCATTGATATCAGAACATACGCAGAAGATCCAATATAGGAGTGGAAGAAGCCGAGAGTTATGATCAGTATCAAACGATCGAAGCTATCCGATTACAGCGATTGTTTGAGCAATCAAAGAGGATCTATATTGCAAATTTAGAGCATCGGACGGTCAGATAATATATCTTTCTTGTGCAGTTGTGCTGAATTCCGGCTCTCAAGAGGCTGTGCCTGAATGAGGGGAAAAGATCCCTAAAGCGTCATTAGTAGAATGTCAGCCGTCAGATCAAACAAAACTAGAAGATCATGCCGCGTGTCAAACTCTGGCCGTTCATTTCTTTAATGAACCAGGGTACATTACAAAATCCCTATTCGAGTATTATAGTATTTTTAATTTTTATTTTTTGTCCACGTATTTTTTAAAATTATTTAATTAAAATTATTTTATATCTTTAATTATATATAATATTATTTTTATAAATGCTGTCATATTTTGACATCCACGGATTGACATATATATTGAGTTATTAATTAATAATCTTGCTTATACTTATTTACTTTGTCTTTCATTCATGAATCTAAGTATCAAAACATTTGCACCTACAAAATATATGCATTCTTTTGTTTAAAAGAATGCACATTATAATAAAAGAATGAGTACATTTAACTCTTTATTAAAGCATTTTACACGCATGTGAATTAAGAGTGAATTAAAAGTATCTTCCCATATTTCTCATATCTAAATTAATAATTTTATTACATATTTTTTTGTTACAATTGATTTATATTTATTTTAAAATAAAATATTATATTAAATAAGTGTAAATATAAAATATTATGTTAGTTTAAAAATAATTAAATATTTTATTAATAGGCGAGTTTGTACATGAATTGTACTGCAGGCTTTTTTGTTATACAATGTCCTTAAAGTTCATTGATTTGATATTTGATAATTTAATTTCATTAAAAGAAGTAATAAATTAAATGAGTTTTAAAATATAAAAGAGATCACATTACAAATTGCCATCATCAATATTACTCATTTAATATCAATATCAATATTATCACACACACAAGCATACACATATATACATTCTTATAACGTCACGCCCCTCATAATTTTTGTGTGTTCCATTATACTGGTTATAATTCATGTACAAACTCATTTCTGAGATGAAATGTAATATGCATAAAAAATTTATAAAAAGAAATGATGCTGTTTATAACAATAAATAGTACAATTCGTTCGGCATTTTTTGCATGAACTATAAAGCATGAAAAACTGTGTTTTGGTTGACTTGATCAGTCTATTTAAAAGAGAAATTATTTTCCTTCAATTTATCACGATTTAAAAATTTTAAAAATATAAATTACATTATTTTGATTGATTTCTCCTTCATAATAATTCATAATTTCACACATTGATCTTGGATGGTAAATTTAACATTAATTTAATATAATATACTCTCTCCATTTAAAAATATAAAATATTTTTAATTAAATCTCACATTTTAATAAAATAATTATTTATTTTTAAATTAAACATATTTTTTTATATTTATTTTTATTTAATAGAATATATTTTAACGTACTTATATCACGTATTCCGACCAAAAAAGGTATATCGGCGTTCATATCATACCGCACAAAGAAAGAAAATCACTTCGGGCTATCAATCGCTTTGGGCTGAAGGGCAGAGCCGGGCGGCGACATGGATCAAATTCAATCTGCACCAAACCGGGGAAAAGCCCCTCTGCCGCAACCACTTCACCAGAGTGATGCAGACGAAGAAGATGAGAACGTGAAGCAGCTGAATGACTGCGCTTCCTACTATCTTTCAATGCAGGTTCTCTGCAATCTCTTTTGATCATGTCTTCCCCCCCCCCCCTTTTTTGTTACTTTCCATAAAACCCTAAACCCTGATTTTGGGATCGATCAGACTGGTTTTTTGACAAAAATATCGTCCTTAATTCGCAGGAATGTCTCGTTAACTCAAACAGGGATTGGAAAGCCTGCCAAGCGGGTATCCCTTGCCGACTCTTTACGTTCGGTTGGCTGATTTTCGCAGCATCGCTTCGCTTGAATTCAGATAATATTAAATTATCATACGAAAATTATTTTTTAATCATTCCATAATGCCAAACTATTTGTGTCTATCACTGCGACCTGCCGAGCTTTTGATTCTTCTTGATAAAACACGAGCTTTTGATTCTCTTGACCTATTTTTCAGCTCCACTGCGTGGATAGTTTAGTCAACCGAAGAGTAAAGATAGATGCATTGATTTAATCAAATGTTTAACCATCTACACTTGAATCGCGGTTTATAGGATGTTTGTGTTTAAATCACATTTTTTTCCTGTAGAAAATCAGCCTGTCTTGCTCCCGGTACTTAAGTTTTATGAAGTTGTTGAATGTTTGTTCCCTCTCCACAGAAGTACAAGCTTTGAAGGCGTGCATAGAAAAGAGAGAGAATAACAAATAGAGATAAGAATTCTGCAGAGAAGGCATTCTGGCGGGCGTCATCTGCTCTGCGTCCTGGATAAACGTGGGAATAAAATGTGAAAAATGGAATCTTTGTACTTTTCAAAGATCTTGACCTCGTAATTGCATCCGTAACCTTGCCCTATTATTATGATTCAACAAAAGGCTGTTTCGCCTCGCATTTGATTGCTGCAAATGAGCTGTGCCCCCAGCCCACTGTGAAAATGAGACGAATCTAGAGACATTACCAAATTTTAGCGTCAGAGATGAGTCATTATGCATAATTCATTTATTGCTTTTATAAAAAATGAACAGATTGTTACTAGAGATGGATTTTTAAATTTATTTTAATCTTAAATATGACATCTTAATTTTTTTTTCTTGTTTCTCACCTTTTTTGTAGTGGTCCCCAAGTAGTGATTGTAGCAAGGAAGAAAAAGAATACTAAAATTTCTGAACATGGTTCAACTAATAAAAAAGGTGTGCTCTCAAATTCAAGTTTTAGAAATGTAGTAGTGTTGGTAGGAAAGTTTCCATCTAAGAAGATTCCGTCATTAGTCTAAGCTCTGGATTAAGTTCTGCCATAAAAAAGAAAAAAGCTGAAACATTGAGCGGCTGAGTGCCATCCCAAACATGTGTTTAGTGTCTTCTAAGTTGGAACGTGCATGCCTAGTCAAAAAATTCACATTGCGCACTCGTCTCTTTCTCGCCTCCATCGTAATTCAGAAGTAGAATAATTGTCATTTTGCTTTTACAACCCCCTGGGCTGTTGATATTATAATTACAGGCATCCTACACTTGATGATGGTCTGAATGAAGCCAAAACATTTCTCCCATACAACAACCCACATTGATACGAGAGAACCATGTAAAGATAACAAAATTACGAAAGATTACACGCAACGCGTCCCACTTGGAGTCACCCTGATCAACATGACACAAAAATAAGCAATTCACACCACCATCTTTACTTCTCAAGAAAAAAGACGAGAAAAAGAAAACCTAGCACCATTGTTCGAGAGACAATACAAATCCCTTAACCCTCTCTCATACAAGACTGGGAAAACCACAAACGTAGATCTTGAGAGGAATAAGGCTTCCATGAAGGAAGAGCGTGAAGTGGCTCAATGAGAGAGAAAGCGAGAAGAACGAGCGGCAAGGATTTGAATCAATAAACTAAGCCTTCTTAGATGGCCAGATATTCCCTATTATTGCGCATTACTGAATTCTAACCTGTGTTCTACACAATCCGGTCAAGGGAAAGGGAAAAAAAGACAACGACAGCTGAAAAACAGGTAGGTATCAGCACGATAATTGCCAAAAACCAACATGAAAAGGGAAATAATTACAATAAACAGTACAAGCACTACGGCGACCCTTATGACTTATTTTCGCATTTAACACTGCCACCAACGAGGAAGAGACTTCTTAGAAGCTAAATTGCTAGAGACATCGTCAAGAGGAGGTGCTGAGAAGCCCTGAGCAGAAATACGACCTAAACTTTCAGCATTTGCTGCTTCCATATTATACTCTCTGCTTTGATCAGCATTCAGCTGCAAAGTTGGTTAAAATACAGCAAGTAAGATCGAAGAAATACTCATCATAGTTTAAGAACCTGGAAGATAGCATTCGATGGGATGAGAACTGACTATTTGGTAGACAACTCGTTGACCATAGAATGGAGTTGAGTTGAATCCGGCAGGCTGGTTGGGCAACGTTCCCAAGCTTACACACTCAATATTCCCCCCTTCAGCCGCAGCGCTCTTCGCATATTTTTTATGGCCAGGCTCCCTACATGAGAGATAAGCAATATCTATTTCTATGTCTAAAATGAGCACAATATGACTGGTGAGTTGAGAGATAACATTTGAATGACGGCTTCAATGCAAATCTGGATGTTTGTTTGCCACCAGGTTTTCCAACAAAAAATGACACATGGATAATTTTTTATCGCTCATCAATATGATGACCACCTTTATCGGAGAAACTTATAACAAACATTTCACATTTTACTCAAAGTTTTGTGCATGTTTAAACTGTATGGCATGCAAACTTATTCATGAAACAATTAATTTGACATTTAATTAGAATTATGACGCATCATCCCGTCACAGAACAAGGAATCAGAAATATCAGCAAGTGAGGCCACTAAAACAAAGATAGCAGAGCATGAGCAAGAAAATAAATTGCAGCTTAAAAACTATAAGGAACCGCGCTAAAAAATTTTACCAACTAAAAGCTATGGATCAGATTTTTTTCCGTATGTACTATGCACAGAAGGACTACATACTAGATGTTACTTTATAATAATAACCAATTATGACGTTTACTAAAACACTGAATACAAGCATCATTGAGTTAGCTCCAGCTACAAAATCATCATGTGGTATTAATTCATGCCAGTTTAGCAGATAGGTTAGATTGAATGAGCACCGACAGACAGCAAAGCTTTCGCCAGAGATCATGTGACAAACCAATAACAATCAGGAGTTAAACGAAAAAATCACAATCACCTTTGAACTGGCAATCCCTTGGGAACACTATCAAGAGTTGAGTTGACTCCGGCCACCTCATAATTTGATGTTTCAAAATTAGCAGCATATTCAGCAGTCCCTTCAGCTAATGACTTCGCATATTCTTTACTGCCTTGCACCCTACGTGAAAGGCAGGCAAGGTAGTTCTATGATTTTATCTCTATATAGAGTACAGCATGACTGCTGACTTGCAATAGTCAATACAATATTTAGAGGACATAAATTTAGTGCAAACTTTAAGGTGTTTGTTTGCTATTGCATACTATGATAAATGTGATATTTCTTTTTAACAGCTCATAATCACATTTTCATCCACATGTATGGAATGCACATTTTGTCATGAAACAACTGGTGTGTTACTTCATAAGAACTATGCCACATCATCCTGTTACAGAGCATCATTGGAATACAAGAAATGGAAGTATTTCTAGAGGCATTATGCATAATTTATAAGATGAAGACTAAATAAGAAATCTAAGACAAAGAAGAAAGTGAAAAAAATATGGCAGAGGATGAGCAGGAAAATTAATGGTCATATAAGAGCTACGAGAATTGATTTATAGGGTGATACGCACGCATAAGAGTACCTCATTGATTATCACCATCCACTTTTCACGAGTTATTATTTTACAGCAGTTATGTTGTTCACTAAACCAGCCCAAAACAAGAATCTGTTTGATGGCAGATTCTGAACAATAAGCTGGATTCAAAAAATGCTATAAGTTATGTTTAGGTCTTGGACACAACATTTTCACAGCAACATCATGTGTAGATTCAAAATCATCATGTCATTCGAAGTTAGGGTGTTAGGGTTAACCAGCTGACCACTGTTAGACAGCAGAACTTTTTCCATATACTCTCTCCATTTCTAATTGTAAGAGAAACTATTACTTTTCACTTTTTTTTTATATAAGCAAAATCACTTATTTCAATAAACATTTATTATATATTTTTTAAATCATCCCTCATAATTTATATTAACGAAAAATAATTAATGCATGCTTATATGTTGATTAACATAAGACATTTCAGTCCAATTTTTTTATTTTCAAATATAATTATTATAGTAAATTAATTTTTTAAATTGTGTGATACAGTTTTCTCTTATGTATAGAAATAGAGGAAGCATCACGTAAGCAAGGTGATAACATTTAAAAGATGAGTTGAAAAAAATTATCAGAATTACCTTTGCACGAGCTCTCCCTTGGCAACATGATATAGTGAGACCAAGCTTGGAGTGAGAGCAATTGAATTAAATTCGTGACGAGTGTGGGTAACTCTAGTACGCCGCAATCTTTTTGTCCCTGTGTTATAACAAAGAACTTCTGAGTCGTTGTACAACATCAGGATTTCCCCATTGCCCATAAACTTTACCGGCTCATAAAAGTCAGAGTGGGATTTTCTAGGATATAAATTTTCAATCACAAACTGCTTGGTCCAAGACTCCTTCACCCCATACTCTTTCATAACCCAAATATCAAATTTTCTACTATCCCCGAAGACACATACAAAGAGACAACCTTCAACCACCCCCAACCTGAGATCATTAGAAATTTTCCTTTTAGTTCCATCAAGGCATGGAGGTGGAGGAACCGACCCAAATTCCTCAGTCTCAAAATTGAAAGAATATATATATTCAGAACTGCTACCTGCACTTGGAACCCAATGAAGAGAACCACGTAAGAAGGAATTAAAAGATGGCGCAACAAGAGCACAGGGTGCATACCCAATGCTTTTCCAAGTTCCTGTATCCATGTGATATATTTCAGCATCCAGATAGTCATTCCCTGACCACTTAACCTTCGGATGAAAAGTTTGTAGCACCTTATACCGATTTGTCACAGCACAAAATCCAAGTCCAATGAAAGAACCCATACTCCTACCTTCACTTGCTGGAGGAATAGTGACATACTCTCCCAAAATGGGATTGCATACCCAAATGGGGTCATCTTTTTCAACGCCAGATAAGCAGAGCAAGCCATTACATGAATTCAAGAGGCCGAATTTCGAGCAGGGCAGGTTAATCTTGGGAGTGAGCATCAATTTATCAAAGCGATAGGGATCGCGACCCCGTTGGTCGACATGGGTAAGGATGATTTTGCGCGATTCGGAGAGGGAAGGTATCGTTTTGATAAGTATGGAAGTGGAAGATCTTGCAAGTTGAAGTTCGACAAAGCGAGGATGCGAGATTAGACGAAGCCAAGCTTTGCAGGCCCGTTTGCAGCTGAGAATAGACTTAATTGGAAGTCTTGAGAGAATGTCGATGATAATGTTCGGAGGTAAAGTTTGGATTTTGCACTGACCCGTCCATAGCAGTACCGGTGCCGTCTCTTTCAAACTGCTGCTCCCTAAATTGCTCGCTCCTCTTTTCTTCTTGCGATTCATTGGGGTTTCTGCTCTTCGTCTTTCCACGAGGATGAGTTCAGTTGAGATTGTTAAAAACTCACCAAAAAATGATTATTATTAAGAGTAAATTAATATTATGCCCTAAAGTTTTATACTTTGCCACTTTATACCCCTTTTTTGATTTCAGTGAAAAAATATCAACCAATGATCATTGAAAAAAATTTATATTAATAAAAAATTATTTATTATTAAAATTTAAATGAATAATTATTAATTTAAGTTAATCTTTTATTAATAAATATTTATTTATATTTTAACGATAACTTATTTTAAATTAACAATAATTTATTTTAACATTTTTTATTTAAATTTTGATAACAATTAATTTTTGATTGATATAAATTTCTTTCAATAATCCTTCATCGCTATTTTTCCTTTAATGTTTCGCATTCTCTCTTTCAATTAGGGTGACTTTTTTTTTTCATAAAGTTCCATCCACTGTTGCTATTATTCTTTAAAAGCAAAATGAAGTAAAATTGGTTTTTTTAAGGGAAAATGACCATTAAGGACCCCCTAAAGTTGTTAATTTTAATTGAGGATCATAAAATATTAAAATATAATTAAGGACCATGGTCCTTCCTTGGAATTTAAAAGAATGTAAATTGTCTTAAATGTCCTCAGAGCCGGTAATTTGGACTAAACCCGACGAGCCAACCGAATTGCCTGAAAATATTAAGGCTTAGCCCGAATAAAAAAATATTTTTTTAATGTTCGAGCTTATTCGAGCAGCTCGAATGAGTCCAACAAAATTTGGGCCAAGCTTGAATAGGTTTGGGCTTAGCTCGAATACCCGCATCACCATCTTTTTTTTTTAGTTGCTCTTAATCAAACAGTCAGTCACTACTTAGTCAGCTCATTGCTGAAGACTCAAGTGCTCAGTGCCTCAGTCACACTCGCGGGAAAAGAAAAAAATAGAGAACTTGAGAAGTGAGAAGTACACATAGTCACACACAGCTAGCTAGAAGCACTGAAGCAGAGCAAGCACCAAGTAGAGACGAATGAGAGATTATAAACAATAGCACGACATAGACCCTCGGTGGCTTAGATTGAGTAACTTAGACGAATGAGTGATGTAGACGATCGAGACAGCTAAAGCCACCACCGCCAAGCCTCTCACTGTGACTCAGACACTCGGAGACGACACAAACTAGAGACAATGCAGATCTATCAATCGTGACTTTATGACTCTCCTCCTTTCATCTCAAAAGACTCGTCCCTCTCCAGTGAGTTCAGTGACTCTCCTTTCTCTCGACTTGTCTTGATCGCAATTCTCCTCGCATCATATTGTCACAAATCTCATATCCCCTTGCTTCGTTGTTGCCCTCTTTTCCTTCTAGTTTTGGCTTTGCACTCTTTCAAGCATATCTCCCTGACGTCACCGCCAGCTATCCTTGGGAGCACAGGTGAGCTTTCATTGTCTAATTTTTTAAATTTTTTTGTTTTCATCTCATGGATTGATCAGTCTGTGATTCTCGATAGGATTCAAACAACATAAAATCTTTTGATTAATCAATTATGATTAACTATTTCCTGCTACATTTAGTGTCCTTGGCAGATTAGAAATTTTAATCCTTACTGATGCTTTAATTTAAGTTGCAGTGACTTGACTTTTCCAACTAAGTTATAATTTGATGTTTGATTATCGAAAAAATGTGGATTGATAATAATTATGTTCTATATAAATTGATTACTAGTATAGAAATTGTAATTGTTTGTTGAGGTTAAGCTGTGATTAGATTGATGATAGGAATTTGAATGAAATGTTTTCTTTTCATGCTCTCTCTTTAACTTGTTTAATGGACTAATGGTGGCTAATTAATTTTATTTAATTGTCTTGTATGTCCCATTATACGTAGTAAACAATATCTTTTAGGCAAACGAAACATATTAAAATTGAGGGTTTTGCCAGTAATAGAAATGTGGCTGCTAGTGGTAGCAAGGTGGGTGATAATTTGCGTAATGTTGCGATTGTGTTTGCATCCCAGAATAAGAAGGAAAAATTTGTTTGTTCTAGTAAAAGAATAGCTTTTGAATAAGGAGGGAACCTTTCTGGAAGTAAAAAAGTTAAAACTTGCACGTTTGATATTTGAAAGTCTTTTTCTAAAATTATAATTGATGAAAAAATAAAGGCTAGATGTAATGGTTGCAATAAAGATTTAGCACGATCTAGAGCTGATAGCACATCTCATCTAGCACGGCATGCTAAGAATTGTCCTCAATTAGCTAAGTATCATGATGTAAGGCTAATATTGATGGATTAAAAAGGAAAATTGAGGTCTAGGAAACTTGATGAAAAGGAGGCGTGGCATTCTTTATCTATAATGATAATTGAACATGATTTGTCTTATTCTATTGTTGAATATAAATGGTTTAGTCATTATTCTACTATCTTGAATCCTAGTGTGAAGTGCATTACTAGAAAAACAGCAGTAAATAATGTCATGAAAGTATATGATGGGCACAAAGAAGCCTTGAAACAAAAATAGTTAAATAGCATTGGAAGAATTTCCTTGACATTTGATTGTTGGACAACTATAACCTTTGAAGGTTATTCATGTTTAACTGCTCATTTTGTTGATGAAAAGTAAATGTTAAATAGTAAAATATTTTCTTTTTGTCACATGGAACCCCTAGATTCTAGAGTAGAATTGGCTAGAAAAGTATATAATTGTTTGGTGGAGTGAGGGATCATAAGAAAGTATTTTCTATCACTTTAAATTTGCAGGAGAAATTGAAAGAAAGGCTAGCTTTACAAGATAGTGCAAACTTGATTTGTGAAGGGGAGTTTTTTCATATAAGGTGCTGTACCTATATCTTAAACTTGATAGTTCAAGAGGGTTTGAAAGTGATGAATATTACTTTAAACAAGGTTAGGGGCAGCATTAAGTATGTGAGAAATCATAGGCAAGGATAATTGCTTTCAAGCAATATGTTGGAGAAGTTAGTGGAATTGATTGCTCAATGGGCTTGCAAATGGACATGCCCACTAGATGGAATTTAACTTTTGCAATGCTTGAAAGTGCATTAAAATATTATCGTGCTTTTACTAACTTATTTTGCCATGATACAAGTTTCACATCTTACCCAACACATGAAGAGTGGACGAGAGGAGAGGAAATGTGCAATTTCTTGAGGCCATTTGATATTACGTCAAGGTTGATATCTGGGTTATCTTATCCCACTTCAAATTTGTATTTCTCTTAAGTGTTAAAAATTCGACTCTTGTTGGATGAAAATATGTTCAATGGTGATCTTGTGATTTGTGAAATGGCCAAAAGAATGAAAGACAAGTTTGATAAGTATTGAAATGATTATAGCAATATCCTTGCAATTGCAGCTGTGCTTGATCCACGAATGAAGCTTCAAATGATACAGTATATGTATGCCAAAATTGATAATATAAGTTGCCATGCCAAGATTGGGAATATCCAAAGCAAATTGAAATATATTTTTAATCAGTATAAAGAGATGACTTCTATTTCTAATGTTGGGGCTGGATCAAGTTCAACAATGCCAACACATAGATATCAAGCTCAATCCTCCATTACTTCTAATGTTTCAACAAAAACAAGTAATATTCAAGAGATTTTAGATGTAAGTTTTTTTTATTTTAATCTTATTTTAATTTTTTAAGACATATATTACTTAAAATTTTTGCATGATGCAGGATTAGATTAGTTATACAAGTATAAATTTTATGTCTGTTGGCAAGTCTGAGCTTGAATTTTATCTGGATGAAGCAATACTTCAGCCTCACGTATATTAAGAGTTAGATATCCTTAATTAGTGGAATACTAATAAAGGTAGATTTCCAATTCTTTCAAAGATGGTAGCTGATATACTTGGCATTTCAATCACTACAGTTGCAAGTGAATCTGTAGTCAACATTGGTTCACATGTTCTTACAAAATATCATAGCACTCTTCTTCCTGATAATTTTCATGCTCTTATTTGCACCTGTAACTAGTTGTATGGTTTCAAAATAATGGTAATATATGATTATTTTTATATATTTTTTCTTTCTTGATTAGAAGCAAATTTCACTAAATTATATTACTAAACTTGTTTATTTATTGCATATAATGAAATAGTGATTGAAAATGAGAGGAAATTATTTGAAGAAATTTCACCCATTAACATGCCCACTGAGAGTTCAAATGTAGCTTTGGATGATAATGACAATGTCAATTAAAAGAGTCAAGAGGAATAGGGAATAAGAGGAAATTGACAGTATGGTGTTTTAAGCATAATGTTTTGAATTTTATTGTGAAATTTTTATCTTTGTTGTGAAGGGATTATGCAATTATGTATTATTAAACTCTTATTTTCAAGTTATTTAAACCCTTACAAGCTTTATTAGTACTTAATAGCATGCCTTTGTTGTTAAATTAAGCAATTAACTTTTCAAATGTTGTTATTAATATTAATATTAATGTATTTTTTATGATTTATTACATGTATTTTACTAATCTAGAATGTGTTGTTATGTTTATATTATTTGGAAAAAAAATTAACTTGTAAATTTTAAATTTAAATTAGTTCAAAAAAAAGGTTAAAAAAATATTTTTTAAAAGTTTTAGGTATTTGAGCCAGCCCGAATAAGACTGAAGCCCAAAGATATTAAGGCTAAGCTTGACTATATGAGGTTTTTTAAAGGGTACGATACTTAAACCCTGATCGGAATAAGCTCAGTCCAAATTGAGCCTAGCTCATTCCCACTCTCTAAATGTCCCTGATGAAAACAATCACTAAGTGAACTTATTAAATTTCCAAGTCAATTTTATGTATTAATAAGTGACCTTAAAACGTTTTAAAAGTGAGTTTATTTCATATTGGAAAACAATTTATTCCTAAATATGGTTCCTTATTTTTCAACTGATATTAATAATATTATTATGCTATGATAGTGATTTCAACAATGCCATGTCTTTATTTTTAAGTAGTATACAAATAAGCATGAAATTTTCACAAGTCATTGGATTCATATTCTTAAGTGGAATTAATAAATTTTTGAGTTACTT